AAAAGAATACAGAACGGGGAGAAACAAAGCCAAAGGCAATGGCAACTTGAACTTTCGCATGATTTTGTATCATCGAAAGCAGCGGCAAGGCACACAGCTGATTGATGCGTCTGTGGCGGGACAAAGGCACCACCTACCACCTCCGCAAAATCCACATTCCACTCGACTTCACCATGCTGCTCCGGACCCATTTTCATCTCGAACTCCAGCATCATAATGCGACCACGCACGTGCGTGTGGCACATGATTACACTGGAAAAATAAGTTAAAAATATGCGATATATGTCAAACCGCTGCCCCTGATCTATATTAACATTCGAGGATATTCTAGTCTCTGGAACTTATGATTGCTTGTTTATTGTAAAATCTGATTATTATTGATTGACTTTTTGAAGAGATATAATCGATTTCTATTTGCATCCCTTATTTATTTGAATATCAAGCTCAATATTTGTTTTGTTTTAGTAAAAATAACATGCAAAGTAAAAATGTAATATTCAAATAATTAACAATATCAATTTATTTTCTAAGAAAATATAATTTTATTTATTTTTGTGCCAATAAATTTAGTAAGCAATTTAAACAGCAAAGTACAATTTTATTTATATATTCATTTGGATGGTCTATTTGCAAATGCAAAATAGCTATGCGTACAGCTGGCAAAAAAGGAGAACGGTTTCTAACTTGGCGTAAAAGAAATATTTTCTTATTGTGTACTTTGGCCTATCGGATGCCCTGTTCGAGCCATGTCAAAATGGCAGGCGCAGGAGGAGAAGGAGGAGCTGGGCCAAAGGCAGAGCCATGGTTGGCTGTCATTGACTGCGGATTGGCGTTGTCAACGATGCAAAGATGATGATGCAGCCGCTTTCAAAAGCTGCAGCAGACAGTTGGGGGCGGCTGTGGTTTTGGGTGGTTTTGGGTGGTTTTGGGTGGTTTTGGATGGAGGCTTTGGTCGGAAGTCGGGCATTCTCATGGCTGGTTATTTATGCGTAATTTCTATGCACACACGCAAGGGGATGGGCACCAGGACCCAGCTCATCGCTTTGACTGCGCTCTAACTGAGCTCCGGTGGTCGGAGCTTTAAGGCCCTGCTGCTCATACGGGCGCACAATCATCAATCAAAATCAAAAGCCAAAGTACTTTTGACATTAATTTATTCAAAAGGGATACAAGCACTTCTCAACTGCACACACATACACACACCGCAAAAGGGATACTGTTTGCGAATTTCAGCCACACTCTCCGCAATTATGACCACTTGCCCATAATAGTGATTTAATTTCAAATCAATGGCATGCTAATTCCTCTCTTTTTTTTTGGCAAAAGTAAAAACATTCTAATTAATATTTATGAACGCAGCGACGACGCGCTTTGCATAAATCAAAAGCATTTGAATAATAAATACGAATTATGCATTTAATTAAGATTTTCCACCAAAATCCCCGCTCAACGATTCGATGAGTGGGGGGTCCAGGGTAAACAACAATTTAGCGATACCATTTCCATTTCCATTTTTTTTTTTTTTTTGGTTTTTCGCCATTGTCTATCTGCATGTGTGTTTGTTCTTTTTCGAGCTGGCGAGATTTTGATTTCCTCAGCTTGCATCAGTCAAAGCGATTGGGCGACAGTCGAAAAAAGCAAACCAAACCGAACCGAACTGAACGAGCGAACCAACGAACACCGGGCGTTTTCAATCTAAATGCAAATGCTTGCGGTGTGCTTTTTGTTTCATCCTTGAGCCGCGACAACAGCAACATCGATAGCAGCAATAGCAGCACCAGCACCAGCAGCAGCAACATCGACAAAAGAAACAGCCATCCAGGTGAAATCGCAACACAGAAAGCCAATTAAGCGACTCAGACATTAATCGAAGCTCGTTGCAGATATCGCCGGGGGAGAATCTCCTATAAAAAGCAAGGTAAGGGCAATTCGGCGCGCTTAATGCAGAAATCGCATTTGCTCAGCAGTATTCCGCAGGATGGCAGTGCTCTTTTATGCTAGCTTTTCTCCACGCAGACATTTTTTACGGTTTTTTTTATTAGATTTTATCTATTTTTAAATTGGGTATATAACAATAAATGTAATTTCATCGAAACTGTGTTTATTGTATTGAGATATTTAGCCAACAGATCTTAATTTAATTCATTTTCTAAAGAAATATTTTTAAAATGTATTCTGATATTTTGAATAGGGCCCAGCTTAATTCGTTGAAAATACTTAAGTTATATAGGAAATTATATATTATTTTTAAAAATAAATTTTATAACACCCTTAAGATGCTTATTGATTTCGTTCTGTGTACTCCATTTATCGATTCCCGTGCATCTATATGGCCTTGTTAATACCTATTTCCAATTCAATTGGAAATGTTCATGTTGGCTCCATAGTTTCTATTGCATTAAGAGCCAATAAAAATTTACAAGCAACCTACACGAGAATTTCCCTTCGGCAAGAGCTTTCCCTCTGCTTCAGTGGTTTGTCATGAGATAAGCTCGTTTTTCCCGGCTCGCTTCATTCGCTTCACTTGCTTCGTTTGCAGAGGCGAGCAGAGCAAATTGATAAATTATGGCCGAGCCACAGACAACGGTCCATGGAGCACGAATTGCCGGCAATTAGCTGGGCAAAAAACAATTAGCATTATGTGATAAGAGGTACACAACACCATTACATGTCTATCGCAGGCTGGAACACTTGAGCGGCGGCGGGGTCAAGGAATTCCAATTCCAATTCCAACTCCATCGGCAATTGAGACGTGTAAGGTCAACGAAAGTCTGCCGCCCAGGAATTCTTACCCATATCGCTGGGATGCGTATGCAAATCACGGAGAGCACTTTGGAGGCATTAGAATTACAAATATCCAAAGCGGCATTTGCACACTCGCCGGCACACAAGGGCGACGATTTTTCGAAAGCCGCGACGTGACAACACTCAAATAAAATCGAAGCCTACTCTGGCTGAAGCTCAGCGAGACTCGGTCCGGATCCCGATTCACATCCCAGCAGCCTGCCTTCTCTTGGAAATAGATACAATGTAAATATGCGAAGTCGAGGGAAAATACATAAATCAGCGCCGGGACAAAATGTGAAATTAAATGCAAACAGTGACGAAAACCAAGATGCGGAAGCATAATTGAACTTAAAGATACCGCTGCTCCAGACGCTCGCTCTCTACCCATTAAAGCCAAATGCAATTTACGCCGATAATTTGCAATAATTTGCATACTACGTGCGGATGCAGCCAGCTATATTCCGCTGCACCTGGAACACCCTAATACCCAGGAACCCACCCACTTCAAGCACCCACACTGCACTCTACGTGCTCGAGCTTTTTAATTGCACGGCTTAGTCGAGGCGCGTTGGCATTTTGTAAATTTCGTTAATTGGAAAATGTGCGAGGATTCATTTTCATCTATTTTCCAAATGCCCGAGCGCCATGCGTGATCAGCTGAGCAGCTGGCGCATTTCCCTGTGGCCATGGCTCAAACTGGCTTCATTGTATTCCGGGCTTAATGGAATTTCCAAATGGCTATCGCTTTGGGCGCTTATGCAATCTGCGAGCCTGTATGCAGAGCCTTCTTCATTATGCATAGGACTCTCGGCGAAGATTTTTCTAACTGACCGCTTTGTATTTACCCACAATATTAATCCATTTGCCAAGATCTCGGGGCGCTGGAGCAATGGCTGCTGGATTTATTATGCATAGAATTGCAGAACAAAGTCAAATAAAATATGAAAAGTATTGAAAGTTTTATTGTTTGGCAGTGCAGTCATTATTTTTGCCTTGCATATTTGCACATGGCACACATTTCGTGCGGAAACTCTGGCGCTTGTTACGCTGCCGGCATTTTGTTTAAAATTGAATTCTTTTCATGCATTTACCTAAATTTCGTTTTTTTTTTTTTTTGTTTTTCTGTTGCTGCCCCACAACTTGATTTTCGCAATTTTTTCATCGCCCCGTTTCGCTTGGTTTTGTTTCGTTATGTTCATATTTTCAACTTTGTGCTGGTGTTTCTGGGTGCCTTTTTTATTTGCACTCGTGTGTTATTTTGGAACTGGATTTCTATTTGCTTTAATAGACCAAGCTCTGGACAGGCCAGCACATATAGTACGGTACGCAGGGGTATGGGTATATGTGCCGACACTGGCTCTGTGTCCTGGAGGAGGGACGTTGGCTTGGCAAATAGCCTGCGGCAGTAGCGTTTATATGAGAGCTTACTGCTCGCTTTTTCCGGGGGGAAAGGGAGGTGCTCAGTGGATTTTGTGATTTGCTTTTTATGTGTGCCATATGGGCCACTACCTACGTACATATGGCATTACGCACAGTGAATTCTTTTTTTAGCTATAAGGCACCAAGAGGCGCTTAGCGAAATTCATGCAAAGATTTGACCGGATTGTTGCCAAGGTTGCGCTCCAAAAATATAAAAGACGGATAAGAGAACACACGGTAAGTGAATAAGGAAAAGATAAATTTGTCAATGGAACGCATGCTTTTGAATAACAATGATGAATAGAAAAATTAATTAATGATTAAGCCTTAAGTTTTGCAACAAAGCTTAATAATTTTAAATTTTGTTTTGACAATCTTTAAAGTGATTTATTTGTATACACAGTAGATTAGCAATTGTGACTATTTAAATGGATTTAAAACCAAAACAAATAGCACAAATAATACTAATCCCAAAGATAAGTCAAAAGTCAACAAGTCCCGTCTTGATTTGTGTATTTTAATTATTTCTATTACTCTTCCTTCTAATGCCTTTTTTTTCTAATTTCTTTTGCTCCCAGAAAACAACGGCAATCAGAACATAAATCTCGGCTCTGAAGCATCCATCCGAGAAGTGACCATCAAAACAGCAGCCCACTTAAACATGGAAATTTGAAAGGCAAACAAATCTGTCCCATAAGCAAACCCACGCAAGAAGCTGTCTGAATCTGGATAGCATTGCAAATAGAGCTGTAAGCCAGGACTTACAGCTACAAATCAGAGGTTGGTCGACTCACCCCGGGTTTCTTGCGTATACTAATCCAAAGGGCGGAGGAACTTTCAAGGCCTCCAACTCGGCCAACAGTGAGATTAATTTATGTTTTTGCTTGGCCAACAGAGAGTGGGCCAAACTTTTGCAGCTTGCAGCTATTGTTCTAATGCACTGACCCGTATTTGGGGAAGATGTCTGCATAAACAATTCGTATTTGTTTATTATGGATGCTGCACTTTCACTGCCGACGATGACAATTGTGATAAATTATGCCGCACGCGACCGATCGGATCCGAGGGGGTGGTCTATATGCATATGCACATGCATATATAGAGGAGCCGACGAACTGTTGCGCCCACTCTGAAATAAAACACAATTCCCTTACCGCGGCACCACACACGCACAGATGCACACACTGACCACTACAAACGAAACCGCAGTGTGTTATTGTGTCATTAATTTCTCCGCTCTGTCCGATGGTTTTCTTCTTTTTTAATGCTGCTTTTTTGGCGCTTTAAGTGCGAAAACTGACTGGAATTAATTGATGACCCACACGCAACTGGAGGGCGGCGGTGGCAAAACGTTAATGAGGCAGCGTGACGCGTTCACATTTCCATATGATTTACTTGGGTCTATCTGCCATACGCACTTTCCGCAATTCACTCTTCTGTTCTGTTCTTTTCTGTTCTGTTGAATTTCCCGCACACTTGGCAAAACCGCCTTATTTGCCTTATTTTCCGCTTTCGGCTGTTATTGCTAGTCGTAATCCGTCTTTGCCCTAAATTTCAATTCCTTTTCGTTTATTTTTGGCATTGCAGATTTTAAGGATTCCGTTTTTTTCCCAGCTTTTTTCGAGTGTTTTGATAGCTGAAGTGTATTATTATTATCTTCCGGCACGGTGTCTTTTTCTTTTTCTTCTTTTTTTTTGTGGGCGGCAGGGGCGCGGCACACGCAACCTGACGGATGCGCAGCACTTACAGCATTCGAGAGTCACGCACTAATGGTCCACCGTCGCCTCTTTCTTTTTTGTTCTAATTAGCCACATAAATTGCAAGTTGGCTGCGATAAAAAATTAGACACTGTCTCGAGAAGCCCAGTCGAAGGGGATCTCTTTTCGGGGTGCCTGCAGAGTTGGGACCCCGTCCGGCTTTCAATGGATATGGCACAGAGCAGCACCCGCACGACGAACCAAACGCTGTGAGCCACGGATAAGAACTAAACAACAATCGCAGCTGCCGCTGCTCGGCTGCTGCTGCTGCTTGTTGTTGCTGGTGTTGCTGCGGGGCGACAACACATACCGCATATCATTCACGCTTTTTCGGTTCGGGCGGACCTCGGCGCCGGCGGTCACGAGCACGAGCACGGGCTCTCGCTCTCGCTCTCGCCCTCTTACTCTCGTGTTGCATGTTGCTCGTGGGCCGCACGGCAGCAACATGCCGCCAAGACGTGACCTTTGGCAACTGGTCGAGTGTTGTTTCGGCTCTCGGGCGCTTGCAGCCAATTAATGGGCCACTCGGCATGTGATTTATCGGCACCTCTCATAAATCCCGGCCCGATTTGGCCGCTTCCTGTGGCAGCGGGATAAACAAAAACACATGCATAATTTCCATAAATCTTTTATGGCTGCGTGTAAAAACTTTCGGCTCGGCCAATTATGCGCCCCGAGCTAGGCACTAATTTGACAGCAAAATGGCCAAAGGCTTTGTCCCTCCTCTGGGGGGTTAGCCAGGGTCAACTTGGGGCTGTGGCTCTCTTTGGGCACTCAATCCGTGTCCATAACTAACCCCATAATTGAGTTATTCCCTGGCCAACGGCATGAGCGGGCTTTCCTGTCGTCCTGGCGAAGGATTATCAATGGCCTGAGAGCATTAACTATCGCCCGGCGATTACATTGTTCGAATTGCTTCATTTTGGTTTGGGTCGTGACCTGCCGTAAGCTGTGCGGGTCATGATGCATTTATATTAAGCCATAATTGACAAAGTGGGAGTGTGTGGGACTAACAGGCTATTAGGACATCTCATTGAAATATTAATGTAGCATAGTTCCAATACTAGGACTACTCGGCTAACACTAACGGGCTTGCTGTTCTTTATAAAATTAAGATTGTATGATACTTATGTAAAAAACGTTCTAAGTTTATCGAAAACATGTCTACTTGTGTCTGAAAAACAGCTGTCTACCTTTTGGTGTCATTGTATGAACGTTGTTGTTTTTTTATATGAACCCAAAGACAAACATCGTTTGAAATAAACGATGTTAATTAAATAACCATTTAATTTTAAAGCTCTTAGTTTAAAAGTTATTTTTACATAATCTGGCTCTGCATGAATTAAAATGTGAGCTACTGTATATTTTTCCTGAAGGTTTTATTTGAATTTAACTAAACAAATCGTTATAACAATCACAACCAAATGATATACGGTTCTTTTATGGAAAAATAAAAGCATTCATTTAAGTATTCCTTTCTATTTTCTTTCTAAAAATAAAATGATAAAGCCGTCTTAAACACAGACTTACTTATTTTTTGCTATTAACAAATTGACAAACAGCCGACGGCAACATGTTGTTTCTGTCAAGGCTTTGCAACATATACAGTGTTGCTTGAATCACCTTCGTTAAGTGTTGCACAACATAGTAGACGGCAACTCAACAAATGTTGAGGCAACATTAATAAATTTATTAAAAATAAAAGAGGGTTCTCAGTGGCAAAAAAGTACAATCTTTTTGATGTCTATAGCTAGATGTTATAAATAAAAATTTATTTATTTATTTATAAACACAAGTGTGTCCATTTTAAGCATTTCATCAAAATACTATAAGAGATATAAGTAAAGAGTTTTAAGAGTACAAATCAAGTTCTGACAAATATTAAACAATAATTCCATTCCAATATACAAAATTCCTGCTCCGATAAGAAACCCTGACCTGTACCTCCAATTCCACTTATCAAATCAAATAAAGATTAAAGGTCGGGCTTGTGTTTTTTTCAGATAGTAAAATTTTAAATTTAGCCTTGAAATGCTAATGTATGTATAACCAATTGATTTGGTACACCTTTGTTGTGAGTTTCAAATGCCTTCCATTAAATTCCTTATATTTAACACGCTAAATGAAAGTTACTGGTGCTGCCAGTTTGCGATAAAAATATTCACTGCTGCAAAATGGTAACAGATTGTCGCCCATCGAGTGGTAATGTGGCTTGCAAGCTGTTGCACCTCTCAGCCACCCAGGGCATTTGGATGGTGGTACGGCCTCCACTCTTCCCGGGGCATTAGCCTTTTATGCACCGGTGTTGCAGCTGCTCGCCCGCGGCAACCTTCACACCTATGCACATGGCGCATTCGTTTTGAATGGTATGGCCACTTCCACTTGAGCGCTGCAGAATGGAAAAGCGAAAATAGAATCAAGGACAACAAGGACATAACAAATGCAAGACGGGGAGTGACGGAGGCATTGCAAATGCTTTTAAAGCAATACTTGATGCCAGCTGATTGAGTGGCAAATGGGCTTTTAACCCAAAACGACCCAACTTTATTTCCTTTTTTCCTTTCACTACTTCCAAAGAATTTGTAATTTAAAATCTGAAATATTCTTATTCTTATACAAAACCAGAACGCCAACAAAAGAAGCTCAAGGACATGGTGTTTAATAGTTTAACAGATATAAATAAATGTAAGGTAAACCATCAAATATTTATTTTATATCTACTTCAAAACTTAAAGTTGCTTAAAAGGAATTTGAAATAAATTGGCAAAAAGGGTGCCAAAACATTGGTACTAACAATTGTGAGGTGTTAATTTTTCTAAAAGAAACTTAAACAAAAATTACAGCTAATTAATCATCATTTAAGATATTTCTTTACGGTGTGGCTATGACATTTTTACATTTGTCTTCATGTTGCTGTGGAAATTTGTTTGTCGGGTGAAAAAACTTTGCTTATTTCATTTTAATTGCTTCACAGTCGCAGGACTTGGGTCACACACACAGACACCACACACACAAACAGTCACAGAGGAAAACGCGCACAGTCAACTGTGGTTGTGTGCCAACCTCTGTGGGTGTGTGTGCTCATTAAAAAGCGAGGCAGCTACGCAGAAAAGCGACATTTGCATAAAATGCCAGTGTGTGTGTGTATAGTAAAACTGCTCCCGAAAGATGGAAAAGCGTGCCACTGACACACAACTGTCACTCACACGCACTCAGACACAGGACCTACCCACTCTGCCCCCACAACCAACACAGACAAAGCCAAGTCAAAACTTGCAAATTTTAATGCATCACAAGATTTCAACAACTTCCTATATCTCACAATCCGAAAAATCATCACCAGCAGCAGCAGCAGTAGAAAGCTCGCAGCTTGACGCTGGAAATAAAGAAAATCTCCAACTGTCATGTCACGTGCCTCTGCTTTTCCACTACCCATTGCCCATTTCCCACTTCCGACTTCCCACTCACTCTCCTTTAAGCTGAATCTGTTGAGGGCTCATTAAAAGCGGCTGCCGTTTTGGCCCCAGGGCAGCCTTTCTGGTCTAATGAAGTTTCCCTTAAAAGGGTGGCCCCTTAATCGGGCCAGACCCGCTCCTTTTCCGGCTGATTGGGGGAGTTGAGCACAACCACACCGCCGTTAAATTGTCGTTTCCTTTTTTACGCACCAAACTACGTAAATGATTGACAGCTGGACATTGCGGCTGAGTGAATAACTCACAGGCCGACAGCCCGCTTGATTTATGGGGGCGTGCTCCGACAGCCGTGCTTTGGCGCTCAATTAAAACGGAACCAAAGTCAAAAGTCACCGAAGACAACTGCAGCCCAGCGTAGCCCATGTAGTCGATATAGTCCTAGCTGCGATGGATTAACACATCTCCCGGGGCAGCGGCGACAACCCTCGTGGCAGCGGAGGCTGGCCTGTCATATAAATCAACCATAATCAACGCGAAATGCGGCTTGACTTGCTATAGATGGACTCCGATACAAGATGCCTAGATAAGCTGCAGTTAGAGAAAAGAGGGAGACGGGATCGACATTTGACACTATATAATTATGCAGCATTAGAACGATTTTATAGACATGAAAATTAAATATATAATTTTATTTTACCAAAAGGAAAGTGTATTAGCTCTGCGAAATGAGAAAACATTTAATTAATACCTATGTATTATTACTTTCTTATCCAATTTAAATAGTTCTACCTTAATTTTACTTTTTACACTGTAATTTTATTGTCAATACAATATTTCTAATTAAGTTTTGTAATGTTAAGTCAAAACAAAAAAATATATATTAAGATACATATTGAATGTTATAAATGTTTAATGTTAAACCTAAACATAAAAATATATTTGAAGTACATTTTAAGCAATTAACAGCATAAAATAAGTATTAATAAACTATCCTCTGTTTTCTCCCTGTACACGAGAGGGTGAAAGCGGTTGCGGGGCGCATAAATCTAAATTACACTGAGCCACCAGGGGGATTGCGGCCTAGAACTATGAGGGAAAGCCGGTTCAAGATCTGAATCTTCCCCGAATGATAGATAGAAAGTGAGAGGAAATTGCTGGCACTCGTTTGCCTTGTTTGTCTGTTTGTTTGCTTGTTCGAAATGTTTTCTAATCGGCCAAGGAGTCGTTCACACCTCCCGCATGAGGGTGCCTTAATTGCAAGTTATTGATGGCCCCCCCACCAGCTACTTAAATTCTTCACTAAACATTCAATTTTCAGGCATACAACAGCCCAATACCAACACCTTTGGCAGTGTGAGAAAGAAATCTGGTAATATGAACTGTCAGCAAAATGAACCTTATGAAAAGTCATTGACAGGAGCACCACAACAGCAGCAGCAAACGACAGTCGGGGTTATCCTGTGCCCAGGTCCTTTGATGGGTGTTGGGTGTAGGTGCGTATGGGCGTCACCGGCAAAAAGTGAGATGCAGAGCTAAAGGGAAAAGCAGAAAGGCAGAAAGACAGAAAAACAGACTGGGAAAGGTAGGTAGAATCTCATTTGCGGTCATGTTGGCGTGTCAAAAGCGGACAACAATGACAACCTCAGGAGCAGAAACCAGAGCGGCAACACCAACGGCAACAACAAGGTTGTCAGGCACTACCACACCATATGGCAGCCATTTGCCTGCACATTTTAAAAAAGCGAGGAAACAATGCGGAAATATTGTGCGAGGATCAATGAACTCGATATACCCTCTTCCAAGAACCGCTGATGACGCATTTCTATTAAGAGATACTTATCTGACCAAATGCTGTGACATACAATAAGTCAGTTGATTGGTGAAACATTATTTTAATCAAATCTCCACATCAACACAAACAATTCTTTAATTTCTTACTGTTTGCCCGAAAAGCCAACGAACGTTTCAAATTTATTTTTAAAATTGGATAGTATTTATAACACTGATATATTTTTGATATCTTCCTGTTCAGAAACGAACAGTTTTCCCCCTGAAAAATAGTGTATTATAAGCTATTGCAGGCGGAAACGTTGCATTGTTTTGTCTGCTTTTATGTTCACCGACATATTGATTTTAAATTTTGCAATGTGCTAATAAGAAGCCACACCCTCTTTTTAGTCCCCGCCCTTGCTCAACTTTTTTCCGTCTGACATGTCAAACAAGCCATTTTATCCATTCAAATTCGAGCCTTTTGGCCGATGATTGGTTTGTGCCCAATCGAGCCCAACCGGAGATGTGGGTGTGAATGTATCTGTAACCATATGGGTTAGCCGGCGGTGTCTGTAGCTGAAATCGAGTGTGTCTGAGTGCCCGACAGCGGCATTGTTTGGCTGGTCCTTTTCGTCCTTTGAGCCGCTGCCATGCTGTTCGTAATTATAAATGTCAATGCCAATTATGTTCCCCGATAATTTCACACTTTTCCATCGGAAAAGGGACTGTGTGTTTGTGTGTGTGTGTGTGTGTGTGTGTGTGTGCGGTACTCATTAGCCGCAAAACGCTCGCAATGCAGTTGGCTAATTGAAAACGCGCGCCTAATTACCGATAATTGATCGGCTTAGGAGTGGAGTTGGTTGCAGCACAGCTGGCCGATGCCCGATGACCGCCTCCAAATGGAAGCGGCTGACCATTCGCATTCGCCCTGCGTGTCCTGTTCACATCGACTGTGCCCCATTAGTGCCGCTTGTCCTGCGAGTCCTGCCTTTGTCAAACAAAACAACAATGGAGGAGTGTGACGGGCGATGGGCGACCCTTCCCTGCCAGCATTTTCAAGTGTTTATTCCTGGACACTTCAGGTCTCTCTCACTCGGCAAAAGTGTACAATGCGAAGTGTGAAGTTTGTTTATGGTCAAGTGGTTTGCTTTTTTTTTTTTTTTTTTTTGTTCGTTTTGTGTTTGTTTGTTATTTTTTTGCTGCCTGGTGCCGAGGGCGTTGAGCAGCAGGCTCGCCACTTGTTTGCAGGACACTAATGACCACTCGGATCTTATCTGACACTGCTTTTTGATCTTGGCCCAGCCACGCCCACACCCTTGGCCTTCTGCCCCCCCCCACGCTCACTGCAAAAAATTTGCATTTTAAAGCGCGAAATCGCTGTCCGCGAATAGTTTTGCATACGCTGGCCATAAATAAAAGTTTGAGGCGCTGGCGGGTGTATTTTGTGGTTTGGCTGGATTGAATGTTGCCACGAATTCCATGGTGGTTGGGTTTTTAAAACCAGAATCAGTGCACAAAATCCCCTCAAGCCAGAAGCCTAATTAAATTTCAAGGTACTCGTAAAAATGTGGCTGCAAAAACTTTTAACCATGTATTTCACAAAACACATTTTCTGCTCAACGTAATCTAACTAAAACTCTTTTACTAAAACTATTTAATACGGTTCTAGTTTACTCCTGTCATAAGCAAATTATTTTGTTGCCTTAAAAACCTTAGAATCCATGTGAGCTTTTAATCCGAAACTTTTTATTCAATAAATTACACAAATTACTCTTTAATTTACTGGCTAGCACGGTTTGAGCTGTAGATACATGTGCTTCCGACTCCACAACAAATTCGGGGTACTGCAAAACTTTATATGTCGCACTGCTGCTCGTCCAGCGTAACTGTCGGAAAATAACTGAAATACTGTCAGCGCAAACAACAAAATCAACAACAACTATCCAGATCTGCAGAAAAAGTTGCACCCACTCCCGCACCGAAAAAATGTGATGCCAGAGGAGCGGGCAAAACGCACTTTATTACGGCGAAATGTTTCAAACATTTTGAAGTGAGTGGACTTAATTCGTGTACACAGCACATGCGTCCGTTGGCTGGGGTGCGTGTAGTGTTTTCTATCCCTCTAAAGAGGCCCAAACTGCTATTGCTATTGCTACTGCGACTGCCACACCCCCTCAGATTCTGTGAGATGGCACACGTCGGGCAAAAAGTGGGTGAGCATTTCCCAGCCAGGGAATTTCGATTGGCAACATTTTTGCGTACCTTTCCCGGCTGCCTGGCAATTTTGTATGTGCGTAAATACACAAGAAACAAATAAGTACAGAAACTAGATCAAAAGAAATCAAATAGATAATGAACTTGATAAAAACATAATTAAATTAGATTTATCTTTATTATTTATATTAACATATATAGTACCAACATAAACTAGTTAAACTAGTCTTTCTTGTCAATTTAATTTGAGTTAAAGAATTTGTCTAGAACCTCTATAATATTGTATAACTTGTAAAATGCCAAAAGCAAAGTTTGATATTTTAGTTTCCCTAGTGATCAGTAGTAAACAAACGATTTTCCTAATTTATAAATCGAGTTTTGAAATTTTTTTAACAACTTTCTATACGTTTAAAAACTAATGCCCTTTTAGGAACAGTTTTTTACTTAAAAAATTATATATTTTTATTTTTAAATTTAACTAAAGTTAAATTATCATAACTTTAATAACATCATCATAGATTCTTACGCATTATTTTAAATTTAACATCTCTAGCTTAACATTTTCCTCATGTGCACCTGCATGGATTCGATTGTGTGTGTGTGTGTTCGGAAAAGCATGTTTGCGTTTCGCAATCTTCAATAAAATTGTTTCGGCTTTTATTTTTGGCTACGCTTTCCATTTGTTTAAAACGCAAACTATTGTGGAGAGCAACAAAGACACAAGAGCCGAGGGAGACAGAGAGCGCATCACCTATACCAGCATGTTATATTCACGCACACGCTTTTATGCCCTTTGGGTTTTCCCCCAATGCCGATCCCCACCGCCACCCAACCACCCACTACACCCCCTACACTTGGAGCGCACAACATTGTTGCTCTTTTTAACGCTTTTGCAATTGCGCATTGTATTGGTAGGAATTTTCCTCCTTTTTTTCCCAGTATTTTTTCGATTTTGTTTTTGTTTTTTGCCGTGAATGGACCGCCGGCAAGAGTTTTTTTTTTGAAGGGGGGCAGTTGCGGGTTTTCAGGGCGGCCACTTTATTTTCATAGCCGCCTCTTTCACAGCCGCATAAAATGCAACAACAGCAAATTGGAATGTGTAACCGCAACTCGTAGTTAATTTTATTTATTCCCAGCTCGCCCCGTTTTTTTTAAGCCCGCTACTTCCATTCCGCCGCATTCGGTTCTTTTTAATTGTCCTTCAACGCTTTAAAGCCGGCGGCAACAACGATATCTGGCCGAAATGGTTGCCTGTGTGTGTGTGTGGGCAGCACGGTTCGCGGTATCTGTCCATTCGTCAATATGATTTAGGGACGGGCAAACAACTCGGCAATAACATAAATTAGGCAAATGCTGCAGATAAATTAGCAGAACCCAAAACAATTTTACGGACTTCTGTCACAAAGTGCAGCCAACGAGAACCGGAGGACTGGACATTTGTTATTGTCCTTACCGAATAACTCATAAATGCAGTAAGCTGGGTGTGGAATGGGTAGAATGGATAGAACGGGCTCGGAATGGGTAGAATGGGTGGGTTCGACAG